AAATCATTAAAAGCATATCTTAACCTATTTCGCGGCAACTGGGCACTGACTCATCATAGGAATGGGTAGAAGTAAAATCTTCCCAGTGCATACTAAGTTTTTCACAGTTCGGTTGTCCAATTAAACCTAGATCTTGGGATCTCCGGTCAACTAGGTTGGGTTGCCACCATGGAAACTTTTGATTATTTTATTAGTTTTAATCCCATCCTCTTCGATGAACTTTCGACCTGCTCTCTTGTTAAACTTTTAGTTAGCGGATCCGCAATATTCTCTTTTGATTTCACATATTCTATAGAGATAATGCCTGTAGAGAACAATTGTCTAACAGTATTGTGTCTATAACGTATATGTCGAGATTTACCTTTATACATTGCATTTTGTGCCCTACCAATTGCTGATTGACTATCGCAATGGATACATATAGTAGGCACATGTTTTGTCCAACATGGAATATCTTCTAGAAAGTTTCGTAGCCATTCGGCTTTTTCTCCGACTTTGTCTAATGCAATGAATTCATATTTCATTGTTGATCTAGCTATACATGTTTGTTTTGAAGATTTCCCTGATATTGCAGCACCTCCAAGTGTAAAGACATATCCACTTGTTGATTTGGAGTCTTTAGTATCTGATATCCAATTTGCATCACAGTATCGTTCAAGTATTGCTGGATATCTCGAATAGTGCAATCCAAAATTTTGGGTATATTTTAAATACCCTAAAACTCTAACAATAGCCTTCCAATGATCAGTGCTTGGATTATTTACATATCGACTTAGCCTACTAATTGAATAGGCAATATCAGATCGAGTGCAATTCATGACATACATTAAACTGCCAATAATACGAGAGTATTCCAATTGAGACTTACTATCACCAGTATTGGAAACAAGATGCATACTAACATCCATAGGTGTTTTCATAGGAATAATATTATATTTCTTGAATTTATCAAGAATCTTCTCAATGTAGTGTGATTGAGACAATATGAGATCATCAGATGTTCTAGAAATTTCAATTCCTAATATAACATCGACCACACATAAATCCTTCATTTCAAATTTACTTGTTAGCATTCTTTTTGTAGTTTGAATTATGGTATCATTGTTACCCATAATCAACATGTCATCTACATATAAACATATCATGACATATCCATTTGGAGTGTTCTTGACATAAATACATTTGTCACACTCGTTAATTTTGAAACCATTTGACATCATAAGCATGTCAAATTTTTCATGCCATTTCTTAGGAGCTTGCTTTAATCCATATAGTGATTTAACAAGTCGACACACTTTATTTTCTTCCTGAGGCCACAAATTCTTCAGGTTACTCCATATAAATATCTTCATCTAATTCTCCATTCAAAAATGTCGTTTTAACATCCATTTGATGTATATTCAAACCATTCAATGCTGGTATTGCAAGAAGCATACGTATGGAAGTGATTTTTGTCACAGGAGAATAGGTATCGAAATAATCAAGACCTTCTTTTTACTTGTAGCCTTTAGCGACAAGTCTTGCTTTATATTTGTCAATTGATCCATCTGCTTTCATTTTCTTTTTGAAAATTCATTTACATCCCAAAGACTTATTACCGGGAGGGAGGTCTACTAATTCCCAAGTATGATTTTGTAGTATGGATTCAATTTCACTATGAACAGCTTCTTTCCAATATGCAGTTTCGGTTGATGACATAGCTTCCTTAAAACTTTGAGGTTCATTTTCTAACAAATATGTTAGAAAATCAGGCCCAAAAGAGTTTGACGTCCTAGCCCTCTTACTTCGTCTAGGTTGTTCATTTATAGATTCTTGATCTATAGTCTCTTCGTTTTCACGAGATCTCTTTTGTGAATTTGATTCACCTTGCATGTTATAAGGAAAAGTATTTTCGAAAAATGTAGCATCCCTTGATTCAATAGTTGTATTAACATGCATATCAGGTATTTCAAACTTATATACCATAAATCTGTACGCATTACTATGGTAGGCATAACCAATGAATACACAATCAATGGTTTTAGGTCATATCTTAACCCTTTTAGGTTTAGGAACTACTACCTTAGCCAAATATCCCCATACCTTCAAATATTTATAATTAGGTTTGTGACATTTCCATACTTCATAAGGTATCTTTTGTATTTTTCGATGTGGTAGTTTGTTAAGAATATAGTTGGCAGAAAGCAAGGCTTTCCCCCACAAGTTCTGCGGTAATCCAAAACTTATTAACATAACATTCATCATCTCCTTCAATGTTCGATTCTTGCGTTCAGCAATACCATTAGATTGAGGAAAATATGGTGCGGTAGTTTGATGAATAATTTCGTGTTCCTAACAGAATTTCTCAAATGGTGAATCATATTCAGCACCTCTATAACTTCTTATGGCCTTAATCTTTTTGCTAAGTTGATTTTCAATTTCTAACTTGTAGTGTTTAAACACTTCAATTGCTTCGTATTTGCTTTTGAGCAAATACACATAGGAATATCGAGTACAATCATCGATAAAAGTGATAAAGTACTTATTACCTCCCCTAGTTTGAGCAAAATTTAAATCACATACGTCGGTGTAAATTAAATCTAGGGGTTCGGTACTTCTTTCAACGAAACGAAAGGGTAGACGTGACATTTTGGCTTCTACACATATATCGCATTTGTGATTAGGAATTAAATCACACTTTGATAATAAATCTAATTTGATTAGTCTACGCAAAGTGTTATAATTTGCATGTCTTAATCGTTCATGCCAAATGTTAAATGACTCAAACAAGTAAGAAGAAGATGTATTCTTATTCATAATTGGAGGTACAACAGTCATTACACTCAACTTAAAGAGCTCCTCATTCAGGTAGCCCTTTCCTACAAACATTTCATTCTTTGAGAGTACAAATTTGTCTGAGACAAATACTAGCTTAAACTCGTTCTTACTTAGTAGAGAACCAGATACCAAGTTTTTCCTAATATGGGGCACATGAAGAACATCATTCAAAGTGAGCTCTTTTCCACTTGTCATTTTCAGCACTATCTTCCCATGTCCTTCTACCTTGGAAGATGACGAGTTTCCCATGTAGAGATGTTCATCATGATCCATTACTTTTAGGTAGATAACATCCCGCGGTTTGAGCATATGTGATGAGTAGCTCCAGTATCCACCCACCACTCCTTAGTGTTTCCAATTAAGTTGCATTCAGAGACGACCGCAGAAAGATTCATGTTTTGTACCTTATCAGTGAGGTTCTCATGTTCTGTTACATTGGCCTGATGAGTTTTTCCCTTCACATTCTTTGGCTTTCGACAATCCTTGGATCGATGTCCTGCCTTGCCACAATTGTAACAGTTGCCTTTAAACTTTTTAGCAGTTTTTGAAGAGCCAATTTGTCCTTCCTCATTGTGCTTCCTCTTTTTGCTAGTCTTGAAGCCTCCTACCAAGTTGGCTTTTGATTCCATCGAATGAGATGCACCATTCCTTTTTTCAGTTTTGCGATTGTCTTCTTCTATTCTCAATCGGATAATGATATCTTCAAATTTCATTTCCTTCCGCTTGTGCTTTAGGTAATTCTTGAAATCCTTCCATGAAGGTGGTAATTTCTCAATCAGTGCAACGACTTGAAATGATTCACTTAGTTTCATTCCTTCGGCATGGATGTCGCTAAGTATGATTTGAAATTCTTGAACTTGGGATATGACAGTCTTGTTACCAACCATTTTATAGTCCAAAAAACGATCGATAATGAATTTCTTCATGCCGGCATCTTTGATTTTGTACTTTGTGTCCAAAGATTCCTACAGTTCTTTTACGGACTTAGCATTGCAGTACACATTATATAATGTGTTATCCA